TCAGGCAATTTTTTGCAGTCGATTTCTCCCTTTAAAGCTATGTTCTTTTTTTTCTAAAAAAAAAAATAAATATTAATGATGGCGATCTGACGATGGGATTTGTGGGGGTGGCTCCAGATGAAGCTTTGATGGGGCTTATCACCGGCAAGAGGAAGGCGACGGAGGTGGCTCACTCGTAGGTACACGCTGCCCATTTTTACTGTAACTGGCTTCTCAAAAGGTGCCGCTTTACGTGTTCAGTTGTAATCTTTTGAAGGTTTCTAACCCGATTTTAAACAAAGAAGAAAATTTTAAAAATCGCCGGAATTTTTTTAAAAGAAATCGTCCCACTTTGAGTTAATTACAGTACTAATTAGTCGGGGTTGTTAACCCCTAACTAATTAGTAGCCTAATTAGCAGCCGCAAACCTTCTCCGCTCCTTGACCCCACTTGTAATTAGGCAACCGACTAATTAGTACCGTAATTAACTCAAAATGGGTCGATTTCTATAATTAAAAGTGAATGGGGTCCCCGGGTCGATTTCTATAATTAAAAGTGAATGGGGTCGATTTCTATAATTAAGAGTGAATGTGGTCGATTTCTTAAAAAATAATTCCGTTGAGACGATTTTGAAAATTTCTTCTTTAAACGAATTATAGGTTGATGTGAGATATCTAGAAGCTAGGCTAGTTGTTTGAGAGAAAACTTAAAATCTCACAAGATAATCAATGTGAGACAATATGGACCCTAACGTATCAATACGTCTCCGTGGTCTCGAAGCTCAGGCAAACTGGCTTCACGCTAGTCTAGTCCTGGTCGAACCTGCAATCCTGGTGTTTGTCTTTGCACTAGGATAGTCCCAGACAAACACTGCAATTGCGGCATCACCACCTTTAGTTGTTCGCTTGCAACTGAATAGATGATGTTGACTCTAAAGAACTTGCCTCCAAAAGGTGGTTGTTAGAGGGAGGGAATCCCCATCCATTCAATGTGCAACTAAATGGAGCCTGACAGCATGTCCTGGTCCACAATCATATGCTCTGTATGAGCAAACACGTTGATTGTCAAATCATTGATCTTGATGACCTGCGGGTAATGATGTGGTGATGCTCATCTGATGCTTCCTTGTCATCCACTCGACAACTGCTTCATGTGGAGAATTTCTAACTAACAGCACATGTTTATGTGCAGCTATTGATAAAGTGTAGACGCTAGCACCGGTAGTGATAACACAAGAACACGGAAGGGGTTCCAAATTGTCTAATATGATGCTATCAATCGATCTTGGATGTCATGCTTTTCCAGTGAAACGTGTGTTCGATAATGAAACTATCGATCATAAGTAGGTTTTTGAGTGGCCAAAAGTTACTTGATCACATTAATACTGGGACTTAGAGACATTGCTCTATGGTTTTTTTTCCTTTATACATTGGTATAGTTGCAAACAGTATTCAAAGTGTGCCGTGTGTGTAAACATTCACATTGCCCGTGACATAGGCATAATAGTATCATCTCAACGAGTTATCCTCGCTATATGCTAGATCAGTTAATTGGGCTTAACTCTTTGTGATTTTGTATTACGCCTGTGGTCCATCTTTTTCCTCTTCTAGCTTGGGAAGTATTCTTTTGACCTTATATCTTTATTTTTCTGTATATCTATTTAGTGAATTCAAATTGCTGGATGATGTTACAGTGCAGGAAGTATTAGATATAAATCAAACTATATATAAAGTACCTTCACACTTGTAACTCTTCATTCTTAATCTGGTCTATCAGTGTATGGAAGAATATCGTTCGCAAAGGACATACTGTTATTGATGCTACATGTGGCAATGGCTATGATACACTAGCATTGCTTAAAATGGTGGCTGATGATTCAGGAAGGGGTTGTGTATATGGAATGGACATCCAAAGTACAGCACTTGAGAGCACTTCTTTTTTACTGGAGGGATCAGCTGATGAAAATGAGGTAATAAGTAACTGCTTTCTTGCATGGATCTATCTATTTTATGTCGTATGCGTGCTTAAAAGACCAAGAGACATTTATATGCCCTGTCTACTGGGCACTTTGTTTTCACTTGAAGGATCACCTGATGAAAATGAGGTAACGAAAATGGGGTGATAAGTAACTGCTTTCTTGCGTGGATCTATCTATTTCATGCCACGTTCATTTATAAAGGACCAAGAGACATTTATACTTACTGTCTGTTTGAGGTATACTAATTATTTTGGGATGTTTATGATACCAATCTGCAGGATACAGAAGTGGGAATAAAAAATTAATCGTTTTCTGTATAGTTTTTTCACCTGAGTATATAGTCTTTAGATTTTGAACCTACCCTTCCTTATTAGAAGCTAGCAGGAAGTTTCTTTTGGTAAATCTAGGCCAGCCATTCAACTACTAATTGTCTAACTTCACTATTTTCGTTTCCTGTAGAGAAAATTAGTTAAGCTATCCTTGGTTTGCCATAGCAAGATGGAGGATGTTGTCCCAAAAGGTACCCCGGTCAGGTACTCTTCATTCTTCATTAACAAGAATTATTTCTTCTAACAAATGCTTAGAAGCTAGAGGACCCTCATTCCGGTGACTATGGGTACTATTCATTATGGTGTTTATTGTGCATTTAGCTTGGCTGTACTATGTAAGTGTCAATAATCATTCTTTGCTGATCTCTGTATATCTTTCGAATCTAGGTGTGTCCCTAAACCATTGCAGGATCAACAAGCACTTTTTTCCCTCTATAGTTTATGTGTGAACATGTCGCACTTTATCATTATATGAACTAACAAACTTTAGCTTCCATATGATTACACCGTATGCGATTCTAGTGGAATTTACTAATGTTACAGCTCTGAAAGTCCTCCTTTTCGTGCTCTAAGTAATACTAGGTCAAGGAAAATTTAATCTGCATGGGTCTAGTTGTAGTTATAATTTAACTTGTAATCAAATGCACTTTAGGTACTGGATATATACATGTAAAGTGTGCAGGACAGCTAAATTTTCAAAACCGACCTATTTGATTTTTTATTTGCAAAAAACGACCTATTTTCAAAATATTTGTAAAAACCGACCTGGTTTCAGCCCAGACGTTGAAATCAGGTCGGTTTCTGTTAAAAATTTTCCGAAACTTCACGGGAGTTCAACTCCCGTGAAGTTTAGTGTATTTAAGTTTAGTGTATTTTTAAACTTCACGGGAGTTGAACTCCCGTGAAGATTAATTTCTTCAAAAAACTTCACGGGAGTTGAACTCTTGTGAAGTTTCAAAACTCAATTTTTTTCAACTTCACGAGCAGGTCTGGGAGGAGTGGAGGACGATGAGGGGGTTTGGGCGGAGGTCAGGTGCTTTGGGATGATGACTGATTAGAACACAAATCTTCTTTTTCTTCTCCTCTTCTTTGAGTCTCTTCTCCTCTTCCTTCTGCTTCTTCTCCAATTCATTCGTAAGAGGGCTGCCATTAATCCAAAAAAAAAGAATAACAAAAGAAAATAGAAGAGAGATCCCTCTCGTTAGTTTTTAACCCAGGCTCTTCCAAAAGGATTTTTATCCAAAAGATGATGTTACCTCTGAGCCCCAGCCTTAAGAGCTCAAGCTTTTCAACTAACTGGGTTGATTGGTTGCAAGTGACACCTCGCCATGAGCAGTAGTTTGAGTTAGGGGAGCTCCATTCAGGGACTGAGAGCTCTTCCTTTAAAGCTGACATTGTGGGTTCATCAGGGCGCTCGGCACAGGCTTGAGCAACGAAGAAGATGATGAAAGCAATGAGAAGAGAAGTAGCCATTAACAAGACCCAGTAGTTTTCAGCTCTCAGAAAACTTTCCCTTTTATTTCTGAGCAAATAAAGAGCATCCCACTTTCCCTTTACACAAAATGGAATGGTATAAGGAACAGAGATTGACCTGGTTTAACTTCACGGAAGCCATTTTTTAACCTTGAAACTTCACGGGACTTGAAGTCCCGTGAAGTTTAGTGGTTTAACTAAATGGCTGCTAAACTTCACGGGATTTGAAGTCCCGTGAAGTTTCAGAACTTTTTTTTTAAAAAACCGACCTAGTTTCAGCGCCAGGGCTAAAACCAGGTCGGTTTTTACAAATATTTTGAAAATTGGTCGTTTTTTGTAAATAAAAAATCAAATAGGTCTGTTTTGAAAATTTGCCCCCAAATACTGACATGGAGAGACTTTTGTCCAAACAATAAAGATAGTTGCTAATCTAAGCTATCCCACGTCTTCTAAACCTGTAAACATTTCATGTTAAGATTACTTCAATTTGTTGATGTGATATTTCTTGTTGAGCTCGAATAGGAAATTAGAGTGAGTTAACTAGGATGATCCTTAAACGTTTTGCCTTGCACAGTAAGCTTGAGCTTTGCGGCAAAGGCTTAATGCAACTTCTGTCGGGTAGAAACTAGTTTTTTCAAACAAGAATATTCAAATGGAATTATGCTAGTAATTCAACTAGAAGAAGCAGTAACAATGGCTCAATACATCTAGCTATATGTTTGATTTTATTGCTTTAATTCATTCTTTGAGTTGAAAGAGTTCTATTAACTCGTCCATAAGGACAAATTTAACTAGGGGTGTCCAAAAAGCCCGTCGGCCCGGGTCCGGAAATCCATAAGGACAAATTTAACTAGGGGTGTCCAAAAAGCCCGTCGGCCCGGGCCCGGAAACCCGGACCAAGTCCGGGCTCCGGGCCGGGCCCGGGCCGCCTTTTTGGTGCCCGGCCCGGACCAGCCCGGCCCGGAATAGTATTTTTTATTTTTTTTATTTTTTATATGTATTATATATGTATATATAATATATTTTTATATATGTATAATATATGTATATATAATATATTTCTATATATGTATAATATGTGTGTGTATATATACTCTCTCTTATATATGTACTAGTTGGATTGCACGTGCAATGCACGTGGTAAATTTTTTTTAATTTATTAATTTAGTATTTATTCATTTCATTAAGATTTATTTAATTTAAACCATGTATCAAACATATGGATAGAATTTAAAAATTCAAATGGATTGAATAATAAAATTACATTTATGTATCAATTGTTTGATAAATAGATTGTTTGCATCCTTAACAATAGAAAATAATGAATTATTTTATAAATTTTTTTTATTAGGTATACAATTTAGTTTTAATCAACCAATGCTAACTATATACATATGACAATAGATGACCTATTTAATCATAATCATCCAATATAAAGGTTACTAAAATAGTAGAAAATCAATTTTTTTCCTTTAGTCCTACTTATTTCAATCTCCTCAAAACAATTAATAGTTATACAACAAACAGTAGACATAATAAATATTTATCATTATTATTTGATATTTTGAGCTTTAATGGTTCCAAATTTCTTTTTAGTGGTAAGCTACTTATACCTATTATTATTATTTGATATTTTGAGCTTTAATGGTTCCAAATTTCTTTTTAGTGGTAAGCTACTTATACCTATTAGGAGCGTGAGATTTTTTGATTACATGTTTATGAAATTCATTGAATCAAAGTACATTGCAAGATTCTAAAATTTTTTGAAGTTAGTATAGAGCAACTATTTTTGAGAAGTCTAAGAACCAAAAAATCATACTCTTAAAACAACAATTCTATCATTGATAAAATCAATTGCAGATAAAATTACTGCTTTAATTGATATTTCCTGTAGATTTCTGTCAGATTGCGCTCCAAAAAGTTTCTTATTATAATCTTATTACAGATTAAAAGCAATGATACTATAACTGTAGGCAAAGAGGAAGTATTGCTCAGATCTAAGTAACAACTATTTCTCCATGCCTTTTCAATTTCCTTTATTTTGAATCAGGGTGCATTATAAAAGTCTGTATAACTGTTTGTTATACCATGGGATGCTATAGCAACTGCCAGAAGTAATAAACTGCAGAAGCAATCTCAAAGAATCGGCTGGAGCATCAATAGCGTACAAAAAGCATCAGTATATGCCTCAAATAAAGTAGGGAGTCATGTCGAAGATTTATCTCCCTCGGAGTCCTTATTAGAAAAGGCTATTCCGTCAATTGCTCTTGTTACAGTGGGTAAGGGTGCTTGGGCTACTGGTGTAGTACTCAGCAGCCATGGGCTTATGCTCACAAATGCTCATATTTTGGAACCATGGAGATTTGGAAAAACATCTCTGCTTGGTTCGATGGAAAAATATGCAGTAGCATCTTCTCATGAAAATTCTTTATGTTATGTGACAAATGAGCATGAAGCATCGTTTTTGAATTCAAATTACAGAAGCTATGGAAAAATATCAGTTTGCTTGTGTTTGCTTGTGTTTGCATTGTAATTATAAATACCCATGAGACTAATTTTTACAATCTGATTTCACTTAGATCATGGAACATAATGATTTATCTAATAGCAAGGAATTAACCATAACCATGTCTCAACTGCAACTTAACATGCTAGCTCTCATGGTTTTCAAACTCTACTCTGTTTCATCTCTTATGTCGTAATACAAAATCTAGCATGTCAGTGATAGTGCAGACATTTTGCTCCAATTGCATGATGTATTGATTGTTAAAGTTGTTCGAACCCATTAATATTAATTTTCGATGAGTTGATTGCAAAGATAATTGGTCCTCTTGTCCTGTCAGGAACTCCTCTTTTAATTGAAGATACATTGAGGAAAAACCTACAAGAGAAGCAACAGCTTGAAGTAACTAAAATGAATAGTTCAAGTATTGATCTCCATAGCTTAGTGAAATGAACATACATGCTAGGTGTGGAAGATTCAAATTGGCCCATGATACAGTTTATCAGATGATATTGATCCTTTTTAGACACAGAATGAATGAGGAATTTTGTCCAATGCTGCAAGATACAAGAGAATTCAGCATTAATGATATTATTAAAAATTAATAATTTAAACAAACTGTAACAAAAAAATGAAAAGAAAAATAAATGAACCATTAGTAATATAATTCCCCCCCCCTCTTCTCTTTCTGTGACTTGTTATGCTAGAAGAAGTATATGACAATATAAGTTTTCTGAGTCATAAGAGACATCAAGGGTTTCATCTAGGGCAAGTCATTTCTGCATGGAACATAAATTTTATTATAGAATTATCTTGCAAAACATAAGACTTTATAATATTGAAATGTATTGCTTTATCTAAAGAGAGAAGTGGAAAAAAGAATCTTCAGATTCTGATAGCAAGTTGCAAGGTCATCATTAACCAAAACATGGTCAAAAATACCTGGGGATCTTCCTTGCTCGAGCTCAGTTTTCGCATTTCTTAGCCTCTTTTGAACTTGTTACTCAGTTTCTGTTCCCCTACATAAAGCACAATAAGACACAAATACACTACATAAGATTTACAATATAAGAGAATGTATGTCTGCATAGTGAGTTACGCTTTTGAAAATACTCCAAAATGTCTTATATACCGAGAGCGAAGGCGCTTCTCAAGCTCATCAAATGATGGGTGGCAGATAAATACCAAAATCACTTCAAGAGAGCTTGTCCTCATTGATGTAGCACCCTGAACATCTATGTCGAGAATACATCTCTACAATAAAGAAATTGAAGAAAATATCGTCAAATTTACCAATTGCACAAACACAATAGTGATTAGCTGCCAATGGTTTCACATAAATTACACAGTTATTTGTTGAATTCATGTATTTGGCCATTCCAATTGATCTGTCTTTGCCATATTGAACAGTAACCTCTAAGGATGTTCAAATATACTACAAACTCCACCATCCTCTATGTAAATCTGTTTATATTCTTATGTTGTTTTCTAATGATATGTCATTATCCAAATGATATAACGCAATTAACTATATACTATCAATGTCATAAAGAAAGTCTGAAATATAAGATGAAAACAATATGAAGATTACAAATCTCAAAGAAAATCTTCAACTGTTAAAATTCTAGATTTATTCAACCGCTTGTGGAATAAACCATCCTTTCTGATTTTTTCCAATCGCCAGACCTCATCCTTTAGAGCAGGTTTGTAGTGTTTCTTGTATACTGTAAAAAGTTAAAAGGAAAGAAGTTTTTAAAAGACAATTTTTGAGGGGACTATAATGGAGAACTGCAAATAAACATGTAGCAAACGCACATTCCCCTCTGTTATCTTTGACGTTAAAAGCTTCCTTTTTTGCCTCTTGAACGTGAATTCCCTCACAGAAGCCTGAAGCAACCTTCAGACCAAGCCTAAATTTTCTACTACGTATTCAGCTAGATATGTCGGTAAATATTAGGTCTCCTAGGGTACCAACACTTTCTTTAAGTGATACCTGCAAATCCCCAGTCAACAGTGTCCTCTTTCATTCTCGTTCTTTGACTACATGGCTTTCAAACTCTTCCTTTGTCCAGCCATCTTCATCTTCATTGTTGAAATCACCCTCAAGAACAACAATGTCTAATTTTATAGATGCCTCAGTTCCTGATGTTACAACATGGACAGTATTTGCATCGAGCAATACAACATGAATTGCAGCTTGTCATAATTTAGAAGTTGATAGATATCTTGCAGCTTGAAATAAGTTTGTTAACTGTCATAAATGCTATGGATGATATGACGTGCCTCTTTTCTTTATAAATGAATAAGATTTGACATGTACCTCTTTGTAGGAATTGCAGGTACACAATGCTTTGCCACTTCATGAGGAGAGTATTACGTCCTCCCAGCCATCATTATATATGATGTCATTGCTTCATTATTCGTTAAAACTTTCCAGCATATTAATGTGTTGTTTCTGAAATTGCACATACTGCTCTGGACAAAGTATATGAGACCGAATCATGAATTATTGGAGGAAAAACAAATTACCATATGCAGTACGTGCTCGAGCTTTGAAACTTCACCAGCTCCCATGTATCCCAAGGCCAGAATGTCCAAGAGAGCAGCTTGCTCTATGCCTTTGGAACCACAAATCACCTGTTCTTTAGCCA